CCTTTCATCTTTTCAGTTCAGTGAAATAACTTAAATCAATCTATCAAACTCCAATTTACTTCTTTTAAAATCCAGGTTCTATCCTCATTAATGGGGTAAAATAGGTGACAATCTGGCCTATATACTAAAATAGTTCATGGGTCAATTAAGGGACAGTTCTAGCACAAGCCCACAGGTTATCACCATTTTTAAAAATGGGGAAAATTTTAGGGTAACAGAGAGGGACTTTCAAGTAGAAAACCTGGTTTGGCTTAAGAGAGGAGGGGATGTGTTTCACCAATTTTTAGTGCAGAGGTCACAGAATTCTGTATTTTTTTGGAAAGCTACTGAACCTATTGAATCTTGGTTAGATAAAATAGCTATGAGAATATTGAACTGGTTGACTTATTATAGGACTATATTTAAATTCAAAACTAAATTTAAATAATAAATAAGTAAATAGATTTCAATAGGTAAATATAGACAACGGAATAGTATTGCTGATTTTTTCTATAGGGATATGGGTAAATATTTGATTAAGTATGCAAGTTGGCTATTTATATAAAAAGGTAAACATAAAAGAACTAAAGCAGAAGCATAGGACGTTCTTGTACTAGGTGCCAAAGAATTCATTGGCTGGCACATGGTGAAGGATTAAAGGAATTTTAGAAAAATTAACAAATGGTTCTTGTCCTTTTCTGTCTGATTTATTTGGATTAGCATGATATTCTCAAACATGAAATCTATGTTGTTGCAAATGACAGTAGTGCATCCTTTTCTTATAGTTCAGTAGTATTGCATTGTATATATGTTCCACAGCTTCTTTATCCAACCACCCATCAAAGGACATGAAACAGAAAGCAACAAATGAATAAACAACAACAAAAAAATCTTATAGACATGGACAAGAATGTGATGGTTCTCAGAGGGAAAGCGGGTGTTGAAGAAGGTAAAGGAGGTTAAGCATATAGTCATGAAAGGAGACTAGACTTTGGGTGGTGATCACACAAGGCAACATGCAGATCAGGTGTTATAGAAGTGTATACTTGAAACTTGTAGAATCTTATTAACCAATGTCACCTCAATAAACAATAAAAATTAACTAATGGAATTGTCTAACTATAGTTAGAATCTATACGCTTGAAAAATTCAGTCTCCATGATAACACTATGTATGCCAAAATTTTAAATTGGACATTTTAGGAAAAACATTTCAGGACAACTATAACAACAACAACAACAAAAAGATGAAACCATCTAAGAGAATCTAGAACTCTCTTTTCTGGATTCAGCTTTCTTTTTCTTTTCTTTTTTTTTTTTTTGACATCCCTCTCCAGGGAATCAGGGAGAGGATTATTCAAATAATTCATAGAATTTTATTCTATGTCCCAAGCCCTAAATTCCTCTAAAATGGTATCCTAGGCCATCTCTAGAATGCATGGCATATAAGTGAGAGGAAAGTGAAAATCGAACCTTGGTGGCCTTCCTAGATGCTAAGCAGTGCCTGCATTCATCCTAATTTTCCTGGGCAGTAAGATCAAGCGAAAATCTAATGTGCTTGTTTTCTGTTTTAAATAGCCAGAGGCAACAATGTGTGTTGCACATATTTTTTGTCAAGTGGCTGCCCAGTGTGGGATGAGGAAACAGCAGAAGCAACAGGGATTGCATCAATCACTGTACTATCCATCGAAGACTGGAAGCTTAGGCATGTGATTCAGGTAATGGAAACTACTGTCATCAAGGAGGAAAGTGATATTGCGGTTGGTGTAATGTGGTATGCTTTTCATAGTATAGTGTTGCTTTGTTCCTTTCATTGAAAAAAGGCTCAATGTAAGACTGAAAGAAGACCTGGAGGTGGACTTCCCTTCCTGTGTTTTGTCACTATTGGAGTTCCAATATTTTCCTATATTCTGTCTCCTTTTTACTTCCCCAGAACCACAGGAAAAAAATTAGTGGGGTAAGTCTGAATGGTACTTGTAACCAAATTACCTTCATCTTTGAAAGGGAAAGTTTACATTGCCCTATACAACTCTCTTATATTTACCTAGAAGATGGCTGAAATACCAGGCAAGGAGAAATTATAAGAAGCAGGAGCTGTAGAAATCTCAAGTTAGAAACATGAAGTCTTATATTTCTCTGGAGGTGGCTGGGAAGCAAACAAACATAAAAACAAATAAGTGAGAAAATAAAGCTGCTGATTAACAGCTCCTTAGACTTTATAAAGGATTTGGAGAAGTCTGAGCTAGAAAAACCTGGATTTCACTCTGAATTATTAATAGTTTTGGGCAAACAAGTTAAACATCCTGTGCCTGAATCAGGAAACTAAGTGACTATCACTTACCCTGAACTCTGGAGTACATATTACTCTTTAAAGAAAATGACATTTTACCTCAGTGTTCAAAAAAGACTTATCAAGATGAAATATGACAGAGTGATTTTCAAAGAAGGGAAACAAATTGAGCAAAGTCAACATAGTATCGAGGGGGGAACCGCCCAAAACTGAGATAACATTCTGAGGAGGGCCCTTTGTAATACAGGCTATCTGTGCTAGGTGAGTGTTCTAGGAACCCATCTGTGTCAGTGTACCAGCTGGCATTGTTGTGAGAGGTTGTATTCTGCTTCAGCTCTTTCAATGCATTTGTCCATTTCATGATGGGTGATTTGTGAGCACACCTGCCCACACCAGGCTGAGTGTTAAGCAGTTTTTGACCCCAAAAATCCATGATCCCAATGCCCCACTCTCCCTATTCACCTGATTTTGTTCTGAATGATTATTGTTTGTTCCCCTGGGTTTAAAAAAATCCTCAAGGGGAAACATTTTGCCAATATGGAAGAGATGAAAGAAAACGGCAGAGCACTGAAAGGCATCAAAATTGATGAGTTCAAAAACTATTTTGAACAGTGAAAAAAGGTTGATAGGTGTATTGCATCAGATTGAGAGTACTTTTAAGGTGACTTGAGTTTAAACATGTGAGAATAAACACATAATTTTTTAATAAGTAAATTTCTTTTGGGGGAAGTCTCCATCATATGTAGTATTTTTGGACTGGCAAGTAGTCCAGCAAAATTTAAACATGGAATGTTAGGACGCAGTATATCATTCAAATCAGGACATTTCTGGGTGATTAGGGAATGGAAAGAAAATGGGAAAGAGTTTAGACAAGACCTAAATTTTACTTTTTTGAATGTCATGCCAAGAAATTTGAGCCTTAACCTCAAATTTATGGAAAGACATTGAAGATTATTAAGCACTGGTTTAAAATATCTTCAAGCCCTGGCTGGGTGGCTTGGTTGGGATATCATCCTTTACACTAACAAGGTTGTGAGTTTTATCCCTGGTCAGGGCACATAATCTAAGTTGTGGGGTCAGTCCCCGATCAGGGTGTATACGGGAGGCAACCAAGATGTTTTTCTCTCACATTCATGTCTCTATGTCTCTCTCTCTGTCTCTCTCTCTCTCTGCCTGTCTGTCTCTCTCTCTGCCTTCCTCTCTTTCAAATCAATAAGTGTATATCCTTGGTAGGGGTTAAAAAAATAAAATGTCTTCAAAATTATGCTATAAGACAAAATTGATTTGAAAAGAGGCAAAGCACAGAAATAGGTGGATGTAGCTACATGGTCTTTAAAACAGAACAGAATGGTCACAGAATAGAAAGGCTGGTATTAGAAATATTTCTGCATTAAAAATAGAATACTTTTATTGTCTGAGAATAGAACACAGATAACAGGCATGCTGAACCAAAGCAATTTGAGCTATAAAGAAATTATACCCAAGATGTGGTAGAGAGGCCCTGATGAAGATCACAAACATGTGGTAGATGATAGTACCCCCCCACCCCCCAAAAAAGACAGATCTCAGAAATAGAGCCCATTTTTGGTGTGGGATAGAGGCAGAAGTGATGAGTTTAGTTTTGGACATGATGAATTTAAAATAGAAATATCCAGTATGCATTTAGAAGGAGGACTCAGCAATTATGACATAGCTTTCTTAATAAATTACCTGAAAATTATCTTCTTGTTGGCTATACTCAAGGTCATGAGAGTGGACATATTTTCTATAGAAGGAATAAAGGGGGAGTCCAGAGAATATTCTGCTCCTGAATTACGTAAAGCCAAAAGACATGGAAAGAAAATAGATGACCCAATGACTTTGGGGGATTACAGGGTATTTGAGAAAGGGAGATCTCTTTATTTTTTCTCTTTCATGGGATAATCAAGTTAGATTGAACTTCTTGGCCACTGTTTTTGCATCTCATATCCATATAGCATCTACACTTGTATTTTGAGTTAGTATATCTAGTTCATCAGGTTACTAATCTAGGAGTAAAATAAACCTCTGGTTATTTTTCACAACTCTTTCCAGTAGCTATCATTAGCCTCACCTAAAATGAGCAACTGAGGCTTCAAAAATGAAATCATACAATTTGTATGGAAAGAGCTGAAATTTGAATAAGATCTTATTTAGCATAAATAACCATAATATCATTACATGTTGCCACACAACATGTAATAAATAAAATTCAGGCCATCTTTCATGCAATTATAACATGCTGTCACAAGCCATGTGCACTCTATCAAACCAGGATGCAGTGTAAAGATTTTGCATGAAAGTTAGAGTCATATATGAATATCTTTTATGTCCCTGAATCTAATTTTGTAACATTCAACATTATTGGATCTCTTTGTGTCTCAGTTTCTTCTTGTATTTGATGATAAAAAACAATCGCAACTTTATAATTATGACTTTAAAAACTTACATTTAGATTCTCTTAAAACTTTTAAAATATTACCTGTAATATAGTATTATTCAATAATTATATAGCATTTATGAATACTGTGCATAAATGAATATAGCATTTTCAAAGTCACTATTATTCAAAATCATTAGTACCATAATAGATGTAATTTTACTCCAAATTTAAGTTTTCATTCTCAAGGATGATCTGAATTAAATTTCTATTTCTTAATTTCTTCTCAGAATAGAGACTTCTGGAAAACTAATGTTCATCTATTGAATTAGTTATGCTGGCTTCTAACAATTCATATGTGGCTCCAAAATCTTTTATTCTTAATGGAATTCCTGATCTGGAAAGAGTACATGTATGGATCTCCCTCCCATTCTGCACAATGTATATCATCTCCCTTGTGGGAAACCTTGGCCTTGTGTACCTCATTCATCATGAGGAGGCCTTACATCGTCCAATGTATTTTTTTCTGGCCATGCTCTCCCTCATTGACCTCTTTACCTGCACCACCACTCTACCCAATGCACTCTGTATCTTCTGGTTTAATCTCAAGGAAATTAACTTCAATGCTTGTTTAGTTCAGATGTTCTTTGTCCATGGGTTCACAGGTGTGGAGTCTGGTGTGCTCATGCTCATGGCTCTGGATCGCTATGTGGCCATTTGCTACCCACTGCGTTATGCTACCATACTCACTAACCCTATCATTGCCAAAGCTGGGCTTGTCACCTTCTTGAGGGGTGTGTTGCTAATGATTCCTTTTCCATTCTTGGTCAAGCGTTTGCCCTTCTGCCAAAGCAATATTATCTCCCACACATATTGTGACCACATGTCAGTGGTAAAATTATCCTGTGCCAGCATCAAGGTCAATGTCATTTATGGTCTGATGGTTGCTCTCTTGATTGGAGTGTTTGACATCTGCTGTATATCTGTGTCTTACACAATGATCCTCCGGGCAGTGGTCAGCCTTTCATCAGCAGAGGCTCAGCAGAAGGCCTTCAGCACCTGCACTTCCCATCTATCTGCCATTATCATCACCTATGTTCCAGCATTCTTCACTTTCTTTACCCACCGTTTTGGAGAACACACTATCCCTCCTTCTCTTCACATCATTGTGGCTAACCTTTATCTTCTTCTTCCTCCAACTCTGAACCCCATTGTTTATGGAGTAAAGACAAAACAGATCCGAGACAGTGTCATAAAGCTCTTCCAGCATGAAAAATGTGCAAGGATCCAGGACAACAGAAATTAGAAAAAAGATGAATGTAAAACAACAAAAAAAGAAACTCATGAGTGGTGTCATACATTCACTCATGTGGTATCATACATTTTCCATTGTCTATCTCAGATGTATGTGGGGGGACCCCCAAAACCTAAATTATCTTCTGGAGGGTAGGCACCTTGTAGTACAGGCTTTCCCCACTAGGTGGGTGATCTAGGAACCCATTTGTATCATTTTACTAACTGACCCATTTACTAACTGGTGTTGTGAGAGGCTGCATTCGGTTTCAATGAATTTTTTTTTGAAAACTCTTTCAGTGCATTTGCCCATTTCATAATTGGTGATTTATGAATACACCTGCCCACATCACATGGAATGTTCAGCAGTTTTTGTCCAAAAATGGCATGTCCCCCACCCCCTACCCTCCCTATTCACCTGATCTTGCTCTGAGTGACTTTTTTTTGTTCCCCTGGGTGAAAAAAGTTTTCAAAGGGAAACATTTTATCAATGTGGAAGAGGTGAAACAAAAAAAATGGCAGAAGTACTAAAAAGCATCAAAACTGATAAGTTGAAAAACTATTTTGAGCAGTAGAAAAAGCATCTCAATAGGTGTAATGCATCAGATGGAGAGTACTTTGAAGATAACCTAAGTTTAAACATGTAAGAATAAATACACAAGTTTTTAATAAATAAATTTTGTTTTGGGGGCTACCTCTTTATATGTTTTCCACAACTATAGTGGGAAAATTTATAGTTAATTCTGGATTTATATCCTGGTCTTTCTCTTATGTTTTCTCCATCACCAACATAATTAGGTCACTGATATTGGCTCATTACAATTTTTCTCTAATGTGTCCATATAAGATATTTTATAAATGTTTTGAGAGAGTCTTTAAATGTCTCATCTATATTTGTAATCTTCATTTTAGATATAAAATGAAATGGCTTCTCAGGCAGGTCACTCCAGCCTGCACAGTGTTTGGAGCTAAAATTGAGCTTATGAATTATGCTGATAATATATAGGTGAAAATGGCAGTCAGGGATTTTAAAAGAATGGCATTTAGTAGAGATAATGTAGTAAAAACCATTTTACTCAAGAAATAAGGAATATGTTATTATATAGGTTAGTCCTCAAAAATGATAAATGCAATAGCTGACTCATAAAACCTACATTGTTTCTAAATATTAACTTATATTCCTTCAGTCATTTACTAATATGAGTTTTTTCTATTAAATAAAATTTTCTAAGAATACCCATGGACATTTACATAAATAATGCTCACAATACCAGGTGTGTGAAAATGTCTTCATATAGCTTCTCCATGATAGTCACTCACTTCAAACAGCTATAATAATATAGCAGGTTTATTATAGCTATTTTTAAACTTATTAATAAACATTCTAAGGTCTGATCAAGAAATTGAACAGGCAGCCTTCTGGTCAAATTGGCAGAGCAGGTAAATGCTGTGCTTTCCTCTTCCCAAGGACACATTAAAATTACAACTAAAACTATAGAACAACCATCATTGAGAATGAGCTAAAAACTAGCTGGACAAATGTTCTAAAACTAAGAATATACAGAAGAAGCCACGATGAGACTGATAGGAGGGGTGGAGATAGAAAAAAGTATGGTTCCACACCTAAATGTGGCAATTAAAAATCAGGAGAGCTATCTCAATTGTGGAGGTCCCCGCATGAAGATCAAGGAGCTCCAGTCCTTGCCAAGTCCAACACCAAGTTCCCAGCCCAAGGTTCCAGTGCCAGGAAGAGAAGTTACCATTACTTTTGGCTGTGAAAATCAGTGGAGGTTATGGCTGAGTGAGATGGAGGCTTCTGGTGTTCTAGGTGTTTCTCTTAAAGGACCCATGCACTGTCTTAATTGGATTCACTCAGTCTGAGCTTCAGTGCTGGGGAAACAGCTCAAAAGGTACTAGAGAAATACAGAAAGAAATTAAATTGTCTGGTTTTAGGATGAAGACTGAAGGCTCAGCTTTCTGCCAGAGAGAAGTACTAACAGAAGCCATTGTGCCTTTGCTGACCACTCCCCTGACACAGCCTGCTCTTGCAGGTGGGTGCCATATTTGAGTATCTATCAACCTCACTAGCACTGTTCAGTCCGCTGTTCACTCCACTTGCTTGTGCTGTTCACTAGTGACTCTCTGAGGTCCCACCTAATCCAACTTGTAGGCTCACTTAAGCTACTTCCAGTGGCTTTTCTGTACAAACTGCCTGACTTACTCATGTTGTGAATTTTCCTAAAAATCTCTCCAAAGTTCACAAACCCTAAACAAGCAGTATCTGGGTTTGGCATGACCTGCAATTCTTGCTAAGCAGCCCTAGGCATGGCATTAGTGGCAGATGGCCACAGATCATGGCTTAGGCTCTCCCAGGGACCACCAAGCCCAGCACAAAATGTAACCATCTGCATTTCACTTTTTAACAATTACAAAGTGGCCCTGAGTACAGAACAGGCAGCAACTGACCTTGGCCTAAACCAGAGCCTCTTCCAAGATAAACTAGAACCAACGCATCTGGTAGCCAGTTTCAGACCATACTAATGCACCACCCTACTACCTACACAAACAACGCACCCAAAGGGTATACTGGACAGGTACCTGGCTCCACTCAAGCAAATTCTGCTCAACATTCCTCCATTATATTCCTCCATTATATTCATGGCCAGTCCTCATAACCAATTAACATGAGGGTTAATCCCTTTCATAATGTTCCAACAACAATCAAGACTCAATTACAACAGGAGGGCACATACAACCCACACAAGGGACACACCTGGAACACCTGGCTTAAGTGACCAGTGAGACTGTGCAACTGGGCTCCCAGGGTGCTTACTACATAAGGCCACTCTATCAAGACTGGGAAATATAGAAACTCTACCTAGTACATGGAAACAATCACAGGGAGGCAGCCAAATTGAGGAGACAAAAAAAAAATAACATGTCTCAAATGAAAGAACATAACTGAACTCCAGAAAAAGAACTAAACAAAATGAAGACAAGCAATCTACCAGATGCAGAATTCAAAACTCTAGTTTTAAGAATGCTCAATGCACCCTGGCTGGTGTGGCTCATTGAGTTTAAGCCTACAAACCAAAGGGTGATTGGTTAGATTCCCAGTCAGGGCACATGCCTGGGTTGCAGGTCAGGTCCTCAGTTGGGGAAATAGGAGAGGCAACCACATACTGATATGTTTCTCTCTCTCTCTCTCTCTCTCTCTCTCTCTCTCTCTCCCTCCCTCCCTCCATTCCCTTCTCTCTAAAAATAAAGTAAGTAAAATCTTTTTAAAAGGTGTAAAAAAAGAGTGCTCAGTGATCTCAGTGAGAACTTCAACAAAGCAATAGGGAACATAAAAATGGAGAGAGGAGCCATGAAAAAGAACCAGTCAGAAATAAGGAATACAATAACTGAAATGAAGAATAAATTAGAGGGAAATGATAGTAGATCAGATGAAGCAATGGATGAAATCAGCAGTTTAAAAGTAAGGTAACAGAAAGAACCCAATTATAACAGAAAAAAGAATTAAAAAATGAGAATAATTTAAGGGCCTCTGGGTCAACATCAACTGTACCTACATTCATATCATAGGCATAACAGAAGGAGAGGAGAGAGAACAAGGAATTGAAAACCTGTTTAAAAAAATACTGACAGAAGCCCTGGCTTGTGTAGCTCAGTGGATTAAGTGTGGGTCTGTGAACCAAAGGGTCATTGGTTCGATTCCCAGTCAGGGCACATGCCTGGGTTGTGGGCCAGGTCCCCAGTATGGGGAATGTGAGAGGCAATCACACACTGATATTTTGATCTCTCTCTTTCTCCTTCCCTTCTTTGTAAAAATAAATGAATAAAATCTTTAAAAATTATGACAGAAATCTTTTCTAACCTGATGAATAAAATAGATATACAAGCTCAGGAAGTGCAGAGAATCCCAAACAAAATGAACCAAAGAGGCCCACACAGAGACACATCATAATTAAAATGCCAAAGGTTGAAGACAAAGAATCTTAAAGGCAGTGAGGGAAAAGCAGTTAGTTCTCTACAAGAAAGTTCCCATAAAACTGTCCGTTGATTTCTCAACAGAAACTTTACAAGCCAAGAAATACTCAAAGTGATGAAAAGCAAGAACCTACAACCAAGTGTACTCTACTCAGCAAGGTTATCATTTAGAATCAAAGGACAGATAAAGAAATTCCTGAACAAGAAAAAAATAAAGGAGTTGATCACCACCAAACCAATATTGTAAAAAATGTTCAAGGAATAATAAAATGTCAATAACCACATATCTATCAACAATTATATTAAATGTAAATAGTTTAAGTCTTCCAATTAAAGGACATAGGGTGGATAAATGGATTAAGAAAATAAGACCTAACATATGCTGCCTTTAAGGGACTCACTTCAGATTAAAATACACAGAGAGACAAAATAAAGGGAGACAAAAATGTATTGCATGAAAATGAACACCAACAAAAAAAAGAGAGAGAGAAAGCTGGTAGCAATACTTATACTACACAAAATAGACACTAACACAAAGACTATAACAAGAGACAAAGAAAGACCCAACAATTCCACTTCTGGTTATTTTTTTCCATTTTTAAAAATTTTATCGTTGTTCAAGTACAGTTGTCTGCCTTTTCTCCCAACCTCCACCCCCACCCCAGCCATCCTCACTGCCCTCCCCTGATTCTTCCACCACTTGGTTTTATCCATGTATCCTTTATTGTTCCTGAAAACCCTTCACACTCCCCCCCCCTTAACCCCTCCCATCTGACCTCTGGCTACTGTACATTTGTTCTTAATTTCAATGTCTCTAGTTATATTTAGCTGGCTTGTTTGTTTTGTTGATTAGGTTCCACTTAAAGGTGAGATCATATGGTATTTGTCCCTCACAGCTGTCTTATTTCATTTAACATAATGCTCTCCAGTTCCATCCATGCTGCCACAAAGGGTACGAGCTCCTTCCTTCATTCTGTTGCATAGTATTCTGCTGTGTAAATGTACCACTGTTTTTTGATCCAT